CCAACAGGAAGGCACAGCAGTACTACAGTACTTGATGTTATAGCAACACATTGACATTTACATCCTGTTTAGACAGGACCCATAGCTCCTTCCTCAATCAAAAACGTCTTTTTTTGTCAAGTCCTGGACAGCAAATATCCTCAACTAGATCTGGTCAGACCAAATGGCATTAGCCAGTTTTGCACTGAGTTGAGTCACATACCATCTGTAGAACAGAAATTTTAATTTCATCATGCTGTCTGGCTGGAGGAGGCTTGCCACAAACAAACTCAAGCAGAGCGAGAATCAGTGAAACAAAGACCACGTGTACATGACCATAAATGTACCGACCCTGAATCACAATTTAAGATGACAAGATGATACACACTCAAGATTTGTTTTCCAAGAACATGAAAAGAAAATCCATGAGTGAGGAAGAAAGCAAAAGTTCATTGGTGCCGGTAAGACAGCACAAGCTCTTTCTCAGCAGTGAATGCAGTGTTGCTTACCAAAGTAATAAACATGGCAATACATACAGTGTGAATGTAGAACTCTTCCCTCAAGCTTTCACTAATAATGCCCAGTAGCTTCACTGTCTTGCTGTGGCATGTTTGCATAAGAATAAATTATCTTGCATTGAAGCACAACTAATGGAACCTGCAGAGTGACCCTGTCTTAGTGACATGAGCTTCTTGTCCTGGTATGGAATGTTAGTAGATAGAGGTAACCAGTGGACTTAATGATGCCATAGACAAGGAGATTCCTGCTTTGATTATATCTTACATGAGTGCCATACATTTTCTTTTTTTTAAAGATTTCAATTTTATATAGTTCAAAATGTTGCACAGTGCTATTTAGATCTTCTCTTAACAGCCATAAAAGTCTCAACCAGCTGATGTACTTGCCACAGCTAGTGGCATGTACTGGCTGTTCTGTTTGCCTTCCTTTTTGTATGGCACATGCTCCCACTGTTTTTGTAACAAAAAGATCACAGAGACATACCACTCCATTGGCACCTCTAATGTTTCCCAACATGTCCAAAAAAGTTCAACTTCAGTTTATTACAGTTGCATGCCACTACCACCTTTCTCCCATATAGTCATCTCAAATGTCTAGGCAGGTGACAGAACACCACTGGTTGGTGATTTGATTTTTAAAATGTTTAATTCTGTTAGTGAAACAGACAGGAGTAGCATTTGACTATGACTAATTCTATGAACTGGTGGGTTTAGCATTTTCATGGAAAGTGCAGTGCTTCCTGCCATTATGCTAAGACAGGGCAGTGACCATGTACCTCAAATGGGTGTAAAATGATGCATGTCCACCTTCATGTTACACCAAATCTTGATTTTGGCTCAAGTTCATTTGTGCCCTGTTTTTATTATTGTAAAATGATACTGTTTTCAAATTAATATCTCCAAATATCAAGAATATTTCTTAAATATGTTCATTTTGCAGCATCTTAATCAATAACACGTAGTATGTAATGTGTTTTAAATTGTATGTGGTCATGTAGATCCTACTGCAATGACCTAAACACAAGTGGGCTACAAGTGAATTTCCTTATTTGAGACACTGTATAAAACCAGTCTGTCATTGGCAAATGCATGCTTCATTTGCCTCTTTGTTTCATGACCAAAATAAATCACAGGTCATATTTATTCATATTTTTTTCCCATACCATTGTATCATTTCTTGCAGGTATCAACAGCATCTTTCAAGACAAATGTTTCAGAATCTTCAAAACAAAAAAATGTTCCTTTAGGACTGAGTCAGGTGTTTACAACCGAGACACCATCTGTGGCACATGATCAAAACACACTTTCCACTGAAAAACTAGAATTACCAATTACCAAAACCCAACCTGAAATCACATTGACCGATTTAAGTTGCTTACCACAGCAAAAAGATGAAAAGATGTCATTCTTCAAACAAAGTGAAAATTGTGGCTTAGCTAAACCAAGCTCTGTGACCCCAGACTCGTTCTGTCAAACAGCTCAAGACGGTCCAGATGACCAAATGATCATGTCCTCAGAGTCCACTCCAACACCACCAGGGTCTGGGTCCCCTCAGCTTGACCAACTGCTGTCAGATCTGGAGGAGATGAAACTTAAGTTTAGACCAGAGACACTTGATCCAGCTCTGTCAGAATCCAGTGATGAAAGCCCTGAAAGTGATCATATTTACGACTTTGAATACCTTTCACCTGAAGATCAATGCCCTACAGAAGATACTGATACCCAGAAAGTTAGCATGTTATGTGTTATACAGCCTGCAGAAGATACTAACCACACAAATTTAGCAGTCACAGAGCCTACACATTTCCAGACATCCATTCAAGATGAACCTGAAAAAGTCACAGTCACTCCTGATCTAACAAAATCCTCTGAGACAAGTATACCATCAAGTCTTGTTATTTGTAAAGCTAGTCCTGCATCTCCTACCGACTCCCCTTTAATTCCTGAATCTCCCCAAAGATTTTGTGAAGTGATGGAACCATCACTGAACTCAAGTTTAGAAGATAAAAATTCTACTGAGACATTTTTTGCAGTGATTTCCCCAGAGAAGGCTGCAAAGAATCAATCTGACAAACCTGAGGAACCTCTGGCTAATATTTGTGAGGAAGATTCTACAACTGACATTTTACAAAGTCAAGATGAACTTGAATCAGCTATATCATCTAATGACTCAAGGGCTAAGACTGAAGAAATATCAACACAGAGTACCCAAGATCAAATTCCATATTTATGGGAAGCAACTTCTGTTGAGGTCAGTCAGAGTGAAGATTTCTCATCTCAATCTCTTTCTGATTTGACTCCAGAGACAGTCACATCTGCAAGACATTTTTGCTTTGAGGAACTGATACCGTACCCCTCCCCAGGGAACTTAGAGACATCCTCAGATGAGGATAAGCCAAGGACCAGTGGACCACATTCGGAAGAGTCCCTGACTCCAGTAGACTCTGAGTGTTTTCAACCCTCTTCAATTACACTAAAAGCAGAGATTACTTTATCTAATGACTCAAGGGGTGTGACTGAAGAAATAGCAACACAGAGTACCCAAGATCAAATTCCATATTTATTGGGAGGCAACTTCTGTTGAAGTCAGTCAAAGTGAGGATTTCTCTTCTCAGTCTCTTTCTGATTTGACTCCAGAGACAGTTACATCTGCAAGACATTTTTGCTTTGAAGAACTGATACCGTACCCCTCCCCAGGAAACTTAGAGACATCCTCAGATGAGGATAAGTCAAGGACCAGTGGACCGCAATCAGAAGAGTCTCTGACTCCAGTAGACTCTCAGTGTTTTCAACCCTCTTCAATTAAACTAAAAGCAGAAATGACTTCATCAACCTCTGATGAGGAGTACAGCATCCCACCCGGGTATGCAGAGACCCGTTCTATCACAACCATCTATATCCACATGCCTCCAGAATATGCAGAAGTTGTGCATAGTGGTGCAGACAGCCCAACCTTTGAATACTCTGACCCAGAGCCTTATTTTGACTGCAAACAGGCTGCATCAGATTTCTCAGAGACTGAACCCGATGAAGCTGGTCCATGTACTAGGTCAATTGGAGATCAGCCCCACGGGCATCTCAGCCATCCTACAGTGCTAGAAAAGGTGAATCAAAGAGTCCTGTTGTCCTCTGGAAGTGAAGATTATGAGGATGCTCCTTCTGTCCATGAGCCTCTTCATAATTTATATGAAGAGAACGAAGAATTATTACACTATTCAGAAGCATCGGATGAAGAATTCACCTTGTGTGAGGCTTCACAACCGCCTCCTGTCTGTGAAATTGGGTCATATGATGATACTGATAAATATCTGACAAGGGTAAGATGAGATTTGGTTAACCACCCCAACCTGCAAGCTTTTCCCACAGCTGAGCTTAACCAAATACTATATTTGCTTCAGAAAGGAATGACTGCTAACCCTCTGGCCACATGGATGGGATCTAGAACTCCCTATAACCCTTATTTTGTTTTGATATCATATTTAACCTGTCCTGACTCAGCATGTTACTTTGCTACCTGTAACCAGCCGTATCACTCACAGTAATGACATAAACTACATGTTTTTTCACCAGCAATAAGCACATTATTTTTTTAACTAAGTAAAAGCATGGACTTATGCAAAAAATGTTTATCCAAGTTACAGACTGCCATGTTGTACTTTCCAATGTAAGCTACTACGAAAATGTATTGTAAAATACTCTAAATCAATGGAAAGTGCTCCATATCACTCTGCTTATTGCTTGCTTTGCTGCAACCATAGCATTCATATATTTTCATTCATTCAGTTTTAATGGGTTTGTGTTGCTTGGTCAGGAAATCACAGCAGAACTCGGATCAATGTCAGAAAGTTCAGATGATGAATTTTTGACCACCAGAATAGTGCGAAGGAGAGTTGTCATTCAGGTATCTAATTTAGCATGACTGATGGCGTTTTAAATGAGCATGGAGGGTGCAACTTTGCAGTGAAACTTTTACCAGGCTAGGCTTCTACTGTGATGTTAAAATGTTTACTGTCTAACAACCTTTAGTCTCATCAAAGTGAGTAAAAAAAGTTGTGTTTGAAGATTAATTTAGGGCACTTGATTTGCATACATCACGGTGGTGTTTTTTGCTGCTGTGAGCACTTCTCTGTTGGTTTATTTGTCAACCTACTGTAACCTTTTCTCCCTGAGAATGCAAGTTTGTTTCCTGTATCCCAAAGCCTCTATTCTCTTACTGAACCACTACCTAAACATTTTGTATCCTATTTTTTCTTTAACATTTGACACTAACATCTTTGAAGTGGTGAATTAAACAAGTAAATCTCGCACTGAAGTTAGCATTCCTGAATATTTTTTGTCTTGTTTCCCTTATAGGCTGATGAAATACCTGACCTCCCCACTCAATCAGTGACAGAAGAAAAGTACAAAGATGAAAATGGGCATCTAGTTGTCAAAAAGGTAAAGCAAGATTCTATATAAGCTCTCATGCACATATCACATGTTTGGAGTAAGGGTTTTTGTTGTACTGTTGCTCCATTTCATTCAGAGACAGAAAACATTGGTTTCTGGAATGTTCATGTCACAAATCATGTCATTGGTTACCTTTCCTTTAAATAGATCAACACCTAATAGTTTTTGCTCACGTTGTCTTCCTTAGGTCACCCGTAAAATTATTCGCAAGTGTGTCTCCGTGGACGGTCTGGAGGATGAACAGGTGTCCTTAGAAGGAGCTCCCCAGGGATCCATCAGTATGGCAGAAGGAGATGGATATTCTAAGGTGATGAAGCGAACTCTACTGAAGAGTGATGGAGACTACACAGAGGTATGTGTGTTGTGTATTATGTGTGTGTTCATTATCATAGTCTTCACGGTATCTTTTTTTTTACAGAAAATACCAGACATGCTAACATGTATATTGGCTATGGTAATTGATGGTAAATTATTTAACAAACTAACAAAAAAAATTTCTGACATAGGTAACATTTGCTGAATGCGAAGGTTTATCAAGATCAAGGCAGGAGACAGCTGAAGGTTGTAAGGTCAGTCGTGTAGAAAGGACAACAGTGGTGGAGGGTGAAAGGACAATGACACACCAGGGCGATCCATCTTTGGCTTCTGACCTTCCCTCAGCCCAAGACGACTTCAAACAGGTTTGTTTGTTGTAACCTTGTCATCATTATTCTCTTACAATGACCACTTCTACTATACCTGATACACTATATGTGATAGGGCCTTTATATATTTTTATATATATATATTTAAAAGCATAATACTGTCAATAACTTGTGGCTCAACAGTCCTCATGTAGAAAATTATTTCACAGGCACATGGAAAGGTACCAGGTAAATCTTTCCAAATTAAGTGAACACTGTTTTCTTCTTTTCATGCCACCAGGCACTAGGTTATATAAGTGGTTTTAGCAGAACAGAGCTCCCTCATGTGGTAGAGAGGGAGACTGTCAAAGAAGATGGAACTGTGGTCAGGAGGTGTGTGAGTGCTGGAGTGCACCTGTTTGAGTGTGTGTGTGTGTGTGTGTGTGTGTGTGTGTGTGTGTGTGTGTGTGTGTGTGTGTGTGTCTTCTTGTATTTTGTGAGTGTGATTTCTTACAACGATAGCTGTGCTATAGGTTTATTAGTTTTACTAATATTGACTAATGTTTGCTGTGGCTGCTATCATTAACCACTTAGTCAAGCAGTGTACTGTAAAATGTATTCATAATCAACAGGAAATTAACCTGATGAGATATGTATTTAAAGTTTTGACAATATTTTCCAAACATCTACTATACTATTATACTACGAAGTGTGAGGAAACAGTTGTCCCATTGTTGTTGAGTACATGCAGTTCACACTATTTAACGGAGCAGGTTTGCAGATTGTATTCCATGGTTTTACATCGGTAACATTCAAGTGTGGTTCAGTTAATGTGTGATTTAGTAAGTCATAGTTTTATTATATCATTTATATTGTTATTTCTAATATTATTTGTTGTGTTTACTGTCTACACAAATCAAAGGAAAAAAGAAGATAATATGCAATTGTCATGAATGTGCTACCACATCGAATCTCAAATTGATCATTAGCCTGTTTAAAGTGCTTAATAACATCATCTTTAGGTTTCTGCAGCTAGAAAGTAGCTATGAAGTAGCTGTGCATGTGATCACAATTGAATGTTGGATTTACAAAGCATGATATAATTTGTGGATGTGTTGTTTCTATACCATAGCATATACTGTACTTACTTACTGTACTTACTTACTTATATCCTTCCCAAGTATCTGTTCCACTAATTTAATTTCCACAGAGCTGACCTGTCTTCCTCTGTTTATTTCCACTCCCTCCTTGCTCCCTCTCAAGGGCCCACATGCGTAAAGGTCGCACCCTCAGACGGACAGTGGTGAAGGGAGCTGGGCAGCGCAAACAGGTCCTTCTAGAGCAAGTGGACGACCCCAGAAAAGGGTCGAAAACACATGATCTACAGCAGCATCTCCACCAGCTCTTTCACCGCTACTACGAAGAAGAAAAGGAGGACAATGATGAGGATGATGAGGAAGAGTAGAAGAATGTGTAACACTCTCCCCAGCTCCCCCCTGATCCTATGCATTAGCCACATGCAATCCCAGTGTGCACCTCAAAGCTACCACAGTCTTCCCATTTAAGTCCTGGAAGATGACCCTTTGTTTACAATTTGGAGTTTTCTTCCCTGGCTTCTATTATGTATTCATGATTTTCTTTCCACGTTCTGATGTTGTTTTGCCTTTTTGTGACCAAAGAGAGCCTTCTGATGTTTTCCTGATTTATTTTACTTTCCATGTCAGAATTGTTTTTGATATGTTTGTCTTGATGCTGTGGTAGAGCAACAACAAAAAGAAAACAGGAATACAATTCACATCAACTAACTCACAAACCTCCTGAAGTCAAAGAACACTTTACCTGCAAAATACTGGTACTACTCTCTGAGTAGGTGCTTGGACTGAAAGACAATATCTCACACTACACTGCCTCTCACAACCAGAGTTTCTCAGATATTCCTTGCTTAAAAACTGTCTCACTCACTGTACTAGCCTCTCCGCTCTTTTGATTCAGGTGGTCAAGATGTCACACAGAGAAAACCAGACTGTATCGACACTGAATTTAATTGCTGCTGCTGTGTTTTGTGTAGGCTATGTGTAATCTGTCTTTGGGAATTATATATTATCTATAATATAGACATTACTGACATCAGTAGCCTAGGAATTAATAATCACTTGTGTGAAGTAGAGCAGGCATGACTAATCAACATCTGTCATTATGATCCTAGCTTTGACTGCTTTGTAGTTCTATGGATTGCCCTTCTGCCTTTCTTTCCCTTCTGTGTGTGTCTTTCTTTCTGTTATTATGTTTGATTCTATTTGTTTTTTTGGCATTTTAAATTGTTGATCTTTACTCATACTGTATGAATGGTGGATGTGAGTGAGGCTGTACTGTAGGTACCTTATGTGTCCATGCATGTGTTGAGTTACATAATGCATTGTCAGCTTGTTTGAAGAGGTTTTTGTCAAAATTATTTAGTTATTTTAAGGTGTTTTATTTTACAGTTTGTTTTTTTTAATTTTGAGTTTAGTTTACTAGTGAGTATAGAGGACTTATTTAAGCTTTGTTTGAATATCAGTGAGAAGTTTCTATCTATTTATTGAATTTGTCACTGGTGACTAAATCATCACAGCTATTTTGGAGACACTTCTCTGATATGGCATTTGTGGTAAGGTGATCAGGTGTTTTTGCTTTTATTTCATGTTTTAATCTTTTATTAGGTTATCTTTTTAACAAGAAAGTGTTGGACCAGGTGTTGGCAGTTGTGTGGTGTGTTTGCGAGTGAACGAGTCTGTGAGTGTAGTAAAAGAGTGTGTGCTAGTGTCAGCAAAGAAAAGATTTATTTTACACAAACCGCATTTGCACTCCTGAATGTCAGGAGGGAACACCTCCATGCTTTTATGCACAGGATATGAGAGGTACAATATATCTTATTCACAGAGAGAGTCTCATTTTGGCGGGACAGATGATAAAATACAAGATTACGTTACACGCGTAATGAAGCAGGTTGAGAGCTTAAATATAGCATTATTCACAGCTCTGAGCATCGCTACTGTATGTATCTACAACATGTAATGTATTTATTTCACTATCACTGTTTACTTTGTGATTTAGAAAAATGTAAAATGCAAACTAGTGGAAGTTCACTGTGACAGGTATGCTTTTAATTTAAATCAGCATCCCTTTTCTGTGATGATGACAGTTATACACATATACAATGCATATATAAATATCTATAAGGGCATGTATTACTGTATCAAAATTCAAAAAGACAAAAAATGGCTGCAGTGTGTCTATGGCTGATAGAGAATAAAAGTCTACAAATGTATAGTTTTGTATCTTGTGAATTTGTGCTGTTGTTTTTCACTTGCTAACTCAAACGTACAATAAAATATTATATTTGCTTTAGTACACAGTGTGTATTATAGCAAAAAAAAATGTAAAGGACACATAAAACATGCAGTGCATGTTTTTCATCTTTAATCAACTAACTGCTGCTCTGCCATCTAAACACACCAGACGTGGTGCTGCCCCCCAGCTGGGCTCAGAGGTAGATGAGGAATCTCAGCCGCAGATACTAATGAACATAAGTATTACATTTGATATAGAAATATGACAGATTTAATAATACAATTTAATAATTATGGTTACATTATGCAGTTTTTGCAATTCTAAAGCCTTAAAACTGATATCACTCTATTGTAATCCGTTTAATTCCAAGGCAGCAGGGTCGACCACTCCATAAGGCTGCACCTCATTTATTAAGACACTCACATCAGTTCCTTGGGGAGAAATGTCACTCGATATGAACGAGGCAGAAGCCATTTCTAAAGGAGTTTAATCATTAATCTCCTTTGGTTTTGTACCTTACAACTTACCTGCCTTTAAACACATAATGTCTAAATGTTTACACTATTACAAAAATTCCTTATTTTCTATGTATGTAAACCAGATTTGCCTTATTACCACAGAGGTAAAGGTTTTTTTGTTTTTTTTTTAACCAACTTTAAGTGGTTTTAGCTTTTATCTAAGTTTTAGCCAAGACAGCACCTATACATTTCTTTTAGACTAATATCACTTCTGTATATCAGTTTATTAGGATAAAGCAAAGAACACAAAGAACTATTTCAAATAATTAACTTCAAGTTATAACACACACACACACACTCCATCTCCGCACTAAGGCGATAATGATTAACCAGCAACACAAAACAAGGTAAAACTCATTCATTATCACACCTTTTAGCTGATTTATTTATTTCTTAAACATGTTAAGCCATCCATTGCCGTGCTGGCAACAGGTACACACCATATAAGGAGTGGTGCATTGCATTGACATCATACGTTTCATTTAAAGAAATGTTTATCATATTTTCCCCTTAAAAAAGAAGAGACCAACCAATTGAAAAGAGTAAACAGTAAGGATGACGAAGACATTGGCATTGTCCTGCAGTGGGAAGGAGACCACTGGCTGGTAGAAGCACTGATCGTCAAGGAAGACATCCCAACATGTATTACAATCCAACTCTCATTTGACTCCTTCACTGCTGTCTTACCATCCTCTTGTCTGACTGCAACGTTCTTCAATCCAATGCTTTTATGACGCTTCCAGATTTATAAGCCCAACTGTCAGATTAACACATAACCTGACTGAAGGTAAAGACTATAGTGCCTTTGCTCCATCTTCATCATCTCCACTTTCTCTGTGCAATTGGCAGAGTAACACACTGGAAATGACAAGAATAAAATGACAACAGAAACCCTACATACAGTCATACAATACAAGTACAAACATTATGAAAAATGAGCTTGTTTTCTTATAATTTTTATACAAAATGTAAGGGGTGCTTCAGCAACCAGGAGTTTACTTTTCCTCCACTTCGATATGAGGTTTTGATATTTACGCTTGATGTTAACCATAACTGTGGACATTAGAAACATTTGGGACAGGACTGATGCACAACATTAACAAATGCAAACAAACAAGTCAGTGATTCACAAATCAAACAGAAGATATTATAGTTTCATATGATCTTACTTACAATATTCCCCCCCATGCACTACACAATAGTCTTGGATTTTCATATATTACATATATGCTACATTCTCTTATTTCTTATTTCACTGATATAAAGGCAAACATATCATCAATGCAAAGTGTAAGCTGCTCTGCTTTTCTTTACATTTAAATTAGTATTATAGGTTGAAATTGGACAATTCAAACAGTATGACTTAGCTCATAGCAAACAGAAATGTAGCTCATAAACTGGATTTTACGTAAACTCTTAATTCCTCTGATAGCAAGAATAGCAATTTCAATGTTTGTTTTTGTTATCAACAATCACAATGTATATACATCACCAGAACTAAAGCAAGCTGAATTTTAACATTCTGATCTCCCAAATGTTTTTGTATTGCACACACATAAATACACATAAAAATACAGAACTAATTTTTCGGAGGGTTACAGTAGTAGATTTTTAAACATCTCTATTTTATATTTAAAATGCATACCAAAACATCTTAAAAAACAAACAAAAAAATGTTGATCAATATGCTCGTTTCATAATGTCCAAATACTGTGTGCAGCCACCCGGTGGTGGGTTTGAATGATGTCCATTAATAAAATGCCATAACAGTAAAATGTATTAATAATTGTGTCCTGTGCGATGTCATGTCCTTATAGAAGGGTCAAAGGTCAGAGAGCAGTCATAGGTTGGCTAGTTGACTGCCCTGCTAGATTTGCTGATGGGATTTTTTTTTTTTTTTTTTTCATTTTTTTGACCACATGTTGATATTCCATTAACTGCAAAAAGAAGAGAGAGAACATAAATGTGAATGAACAGGGTAATGAAAATGAAGTAATCTAAAGAAATAATCAGACCAGTAGACACTCTGTAAGAGATACAATTAATGACACAATACCAATGGGCATACTGGCTTACTGGCATTACTTACTGGGAATATCCCTTACACACCTATGGTCCACCCATACAGGTGTTTTCAGTTAATTTTCCTAATTAGACCTCCTCTCATGAATGTGCGGGTGTGTACGGACAGTGCTTGATTAACATCTCGCTTACTCGCCTGTCACTTTTGTTGCACCTGGTGGGGCAACTTCAACAACACCTTCATGATTCATAGTTATTCATGTTCACGTTTGGTGACCTCAGGTAGTTCTCAGCACAACTCTGCCCAACGTTTACCCAGGTAGAGGTCAATGAACTAGAATGAGTGAAAATACCAAGTAAACAGAAAAGAGCTGTCATTTACATTGATGCTTTTCCTGCTCTAAAATATAGAAATATATAATATATATATACTTTTTCTTGTATTACTTGTTTGTTTTTTCTGCCTGCCTTCTTAATTTATTTTATTTGTTTTTAGTATAACTTCTTACTATCGTTATACCTGTATTTTATAGTCATTTTATCATTGCATCTTAATTTTTAAATCTACCTTATTTAATTCATCTTAACCCTTTACAGGTTCTTGTTTTAAAACAAGCTGGAAATGTTAAAAAGTCAGCTGGAGAGTTTTCAGCTATGTTTTAGTGTTAGTGCTAGTATTAGCTACCTAACTAAGAATGATCAAAATTCTAGCCGACAAAATCTAGCCATCTAGAAATGAGAAGCCTTTAGACATTACTGCAAATTTTGTGAAAGGTGAGATCGGTTAGCTTTAAAATAGACTGCATGTATCATGCAAGGATGGAAATATTATCAGGTGTAGAAACTGTACCAAGGGGCAGGGCTTAGTGACTGGAAAATTCCCACCTGGTTAGTCTACTCAAACGAGTAACTTAACACCAGGCTGAACAACAATATTTCACTGCACTCTCTAGTTTGTCTGTTGCACCTTTGATGGATGTGATTGGGTGTGCTCAGTTGCACCCAACAGTGATGTCATAGTGTACTGACCACACCCTAGAGCACACCTACATCACTGCAGCAAAGTTGAAAAATAAACCAGTAGAGGTCACAAAAAACAAGATCTTCAGCTCCTGTTAAGTATAGCTGCTGTGTGATTCTTACTGGGAGGGGATGCTGGGCGAGCCGGAGCGGTGGAAGTGGATGTTCTGCCATTTGCCGTCACGGCGATGCCACACGCGGGTCTCCTCAGACTGCATGGTGCGGGGCATGCCGCCAGCATCCATGTACTGGGTCAGTCGAATATAGGCGATACAGGCTGCATTTTCCCCAATTAGGTGCACATGTGGGTTCAAGAGGATGGTGTGCACCGGCTTATTGCCTTTGGACAGGGCTGGAAGGGACACAAAACGGATGATTAAAGGGAGAAAATGTCACTTAGTATCACATATTAAAAGGAATATGGATATTGTCCTATCACTTTAAACACCTGGTTGAGTGAGGATGGTTTGGGAAATTCTAATACAGCTGCATGACTGTTCAAAAGCAAAACACTGACCCCACCTTAGAAGGAACGCTAACTGCCGTGAAAACAAGAGGAAGTAAAAATCTCCATATGTTGAGGTTGGATAGTGGACAAGCACAGGCTTGCCAAGTGATTGAGGTTTCTAGGACATATCTGGTTTATCTGAACTATTTTTACCCAGACTGAGGACATTTGGCCATTTATAGCAGTCATTATTCATTAGTGATTTTATGCACCAAGGTTAGTTCATAATCACAGCCATGACCTTGTGGTGTACCAGCATGAACTGTAAACTGATAGGACTAAATATTGATATAGAAAAAAAGATGAATATAAAGGATATCATACCATTTAGCCCATACCCACTAATGCATTATTACACTATCTTCTATTCCTTATTTTTAAAATATTGATATCAATAAAAAACTTTCATTCCTACCAATTAACTTGAAGCAATGAAACACATTTGTGTGCAGAATTCAGGTATTTTCTCTCTCTCTGTACATAATGGCTCCTTATCGCCTGACCACTGGGCTATCTGCACCCCTGCACACCTGCTTCCCATCAATTGATTACGCTTATGACCTGCCTCTGCAGCTGTTCCTGATTGGCTAATTTTGCTGTATGCATATATGGTTCTTACAAGGAGGAACTTGCTATTGTGTGTTACTACATATGTTGTTGATGTTCTGCCCAAATATTACACTGTGTGACAAAATCTCACTTAAAACGTCATTTAAGTGCACATGCTAGCTATTGCATTTCAGTGACATGCTACATATATATGTGTTTAGTTCTCCCCCCTGAAAATCAAATCTTTTCCTACCATGCTTCAGAGCAAGCAACTCACACATTACATCATTCAGCACATTGTTTATCAGTTATCGCCAGTGCAGCTGCAAAAACTTAAACAACAACTGAACAATACACAGCCCTTGATCCTTCCAAGGGCCAGATCCTCATTTTCAGTGTAAAGCTCGGGTGCAGAGCCAGCTGGCTACTTGCACCTTTGGGAGCAGCCACAGACCCACAGCTACAACATATTTCAACTGCTCCAGACAACAGTAGCACGAGCAAGCATTTCACACTGTGATAAATTCCCTCTCAGTTTGACTACTGCTGGTACTGTACTTTAACTAGCTATTTTATTTATCTATTTTGTAAAATGTGAAAGTTTCAGGTCACATACAACTGCCCTGATGCTGCTGCTAACATTTGCTTTTTGCCAGTTTCATGATTAATGTTTTTGAACTCACCATTCTCAAAGTAAAAGCGATGGAAGTCATGTCCTTCCACCAGGTTGCCCAGGGCCTCAGGCTCAAAGGAAGTTAGGCCAGGATCACAAATCTTCCTGTTACACCAAAAAATAATATAGAATCAGCAAATGAAGTCATTATAGCTAGTTAGATGTTATACTGTGCAAATGCAGAGAAAGAGAAACTTACGCATAGGACTCAAAGTCTCCATTGTTGATAGACTCAATCAACTGCTCCGTTACTTTGATAATTTCCTGTTTGCGGGCTACAACACAAGATCACAGAACATCATCAACCACACAAACTGATGTAAAAAAAAAAAGATAGTTGTTACAATGTTTCAGGCCAATGTCAGTCTGAGTGCAGATAAAGGAAATCTGACATCAAATCAACTTTAAAAAGATTCTAGTCTACGAATTAGCAGGATTTCAAACTTATTAGAAATGGAAGGCGCTCATAAGTATTTCACAAAATTGTTATTTAATATCTGAGTAACAAAACAACAAGAAAGCCTCCCATGACTAATAGTGATATCAGGCAGGAAAATGCAGGATGACACGATTCTTTTCACCCAACAAAGCTCAAAATGAACAAAGACAAACCAATGCTCAGATGCAAGTATTTGCTAAAAAAGCAGTTTCAACTAAGTAATATTGACAGTTACCTTTATTGTTATTGGTGCAGGCTGGGGGATATTAAAAAAATTACTTAATTTGTGCAACAAAAAGACATGTTAAATAGTAAAGAAATATAAAAATCAGTACTTCAGCTCCATTGCCTTCATAGCCATAAGCTAAAACACAGTGTGTGTACATCAGTGTGTATGTTAGTCAGCTTTCTACTGTGTGAGTCAGTGTTTGGGTAAGTCAAACAGAAGGCAAATAGAGGAGTGAGAACAGCATCTGTATCTATAAGACACAAATATATCTTTGATTCAAATACAAAAGATTAAATCAGACAGAAGGAGCTGATATTTAGGGGTCAAAAACAAAAAGGTTTTATGTCACTGGAGAGGGAATAGTGCAGTGTAAGGACCAATGATCTTAAACTATAGACTATCAAACACTCACTTATCTAAGCCAAGGGAGTGAGTTCAACATCAGGAGAGCACACCATTTAAGACACAGAACACATTCTTCCAGTTATGACTGGGTAACAAAAGGGGGCACAAAACAGGGCATCTCTCCCACTGTGGAGGGACTTACTCTGGACTGAGGAGGTCGGAGTCTGCCTTGAATCAGACATCTGTGAGGAACGGCTCTTAGAGCTCAAGATACCGCTCACTAAGCTGCCCAGACGAAGGGCTGTCAGATATTACATGGATGGGTTTGTGTGATTAGGTGTCAAGTGTGCGTGTGTTGGGTGGGGTATGAAACAAAGATAAGGGTTGTTTAAGGCATATATATACATATATATGTGTGTGTGTATGTATGGGCAAAGGCAGGATGGAGGAAAACATTGATATATTCAAAAAAACACAAAGAATGGGGAAAAAAAAGAAAGGAGAAGCATTTAGTAATACTGAAAACATTAAAAAGATATGCAAAAAAATAGAAAAGGCAGTGTTAAGATGGGAGAAACTTGAGGATGCGAGGGAGGATAGGACAGAAAAAGAACAGGGCGGACTGCATTTTGCAAGAGGAGCTGACAGCCAAAGGGGCGGTTGCGGTAGATAACTTGCTGTGCATTTCAAACTGTGTTGCAAAACAGATTGAAGAAAAAAATACAAAGGAGTGATCAGTCTGATTGGAAAGGGTGAGGGCCGATAGTTGTAACCTCACACTGTAGGTGAGGACTGTAAGTAGGTAAATCAGACAAAAACACAAGTTGCCCTACCTTTTACATCCTCATCCTCTATGGTGGTGTTGGCACTCTCAATGGACTCCTGACAAAGAATGACAACCTACAGATTTTGTATATGTAATACGTGTATCGATAATGATAGTACAATTGATCACATGTTACTTATGTAATATCAATGAGTGTTGAAATAAAAAGTTTCAAATGCTCTTGCAAACTCAGATTTTCTGTATTTTGGAGGCTTTCTTTTGCATTTAAAATGTATTGCAATATAGCTGACAGGGAACAAGAGCAGGGACATGCAACAAAGGTCCCTGACTGGGCTTAAATCAGGGATGTTGAGATTACATAGTTAGGGTCTTAACCCCTCAGCCACCAGAATGCTCCGATGAACAGTATTTAACAACAGTTGATTATATAACAACAGTACAGTACAAGATAAGGGCTTTTTACAGTTGGTAGAGGGAGATACCGTTATTATTCATGGTAATTGCGTAAGGAAAAGGCCTAAAGTACAAACAGCTTTGATATCAATAAATGCAACAAACAATGAAAATGGTGATTTTGTTCTAATACCTTATTTCCATCCACAGGGTTGTGGATCACAGTTGTCTGTGGTTCCTAAAGAGACAACAAACGACAGAGAATTTGAGGGAAGAAATAGCTAAAGAAGGCTAGAAAAGGTAGGATGATGGCAGAGAAACTGCTAAAGGAAATGTGTTTGTGTGTATTTTCAGAATTGAAATGAAATTATCACATTTTGATCTGTCTGTCTGTCTGCCTGCTTTCTACATACATACACTTACCTATAAATATATCTATCAAATGTATCTGACATGAAATAACAACATAAAAAATAAACTGTTCTGCAATTGCCTGTGCCCACTTGTTTTTTATTTTCTTCAAGCTTTTATCTCCCTTCCTGCATGACATTGTCACTCTGTCTTTTTCTGTGTCTGCTTTTCTCCCATCAGCCCTCAACAGTGTCCTGCCCTAGTAATCAGATGTCTGGGCTTTTGTGCAATCGATCCTGATGACCAGCTCAGTCCTTCTAATCACTCAACCCAATTACAGTAGATTATAACATCAGCAGCCTACATCTGTGTGTGTGTGTGTGTGTGTGTGTGTGTGTGTGTGTGTGTGTGTGTGTGTGTGTGTGTGTGTGTGATGATGGAGAGAGAAAGGAGGATAGAGAGAAAGAGAAGAAAGAGAGAGATGCCATGTGCCTGTGTTCATGCGTAATCATCTTGACAGCAAATGGGGGGACAGAAAGCCTTTGACATCATGCAGAGCAGCAGTCATGTGGCCTGACGTAGACAGCCAGTCAGCACACACCATGCGCAAGCCAATGAGTGACGGCCAAATCACTTGGGAATGTAGCATCATAATGAGCCCAAGGAGACGCCATTCTCACACTCCAGCAAAGCACAGACAAACTCAATAACACATACCTGCTACTTGTCAATACTTCATATTATTAAATGCAAAATGATAGCAGTACATTTCATGACATGGGGGGAGCACATGCATGGTGTAGGTGTGTAAAGAGGAAAGAGAGAGGAAGAGTTCTTGTAGAGGACAAAAGAGCAAGGAGAGGGGGGACTGAGGTAGAGGTTGCCCCCCTAACGACAGATTTAAAACTACACTACTCAAAGCCCAATCCAAACGTGTGTAAAGGCTTATTATTTCAGCCCAACATCAACAATATACCGGTACAGCAAATCCAAACTAGCCAAGCTATGTATGCCCCATGCATGCTCTGCTAATTCAGATGAATGAATGAACACATCAATCTGAATTCCAAATAGTTTATCTTTCATGATTAGCTGTATCAAATATGCTGGAGCTGGGACATGCTGTGCAGCCACAAAAGCTTTTACACACTATTTCATTCAGGGATAGCCTCAGGTTGAGCTCATCCATTATATTTTCGGTATTTTTACACACCCGGTAAAAAAAATTATCAAGCAAGGCTGAGATAAAAAAAAAATCATCTGACCCCATGTGAAAGGGTGAACCTGTACCTCCTTCACAGCGGGGTTTGAGGTGGGGAGGTGTAAGGGTTTTGTGGATGAAGGTGCGGGTGTAGGTGAGGTTTTGTGTGTATACCAGCGCAGGGGCAGGGCCAGTGTCTTTAGGACTGGTCACTGTGTTGGCTTTGTTGTTGACCTGCAGGGGGCAGTGTAGAGGGGACATGACACACACACTTTTCAAACACACTCACGTACCCACACTCACTCTGGCAACGGTCCATTCCAAAGAGATCAGCCCGACTCATGTGTCCCAAAGATCTGATGTTACTGAGTCTTACACTGTTACAAATCAAGATCTCTTAACAAAATGTGTATATTCGATAAAGCACACTTTAACGCTTTAACTTAGTCAGAAACAGAAGTACAAGAGATCAGTTAAACTGGGCTCTGCCAAAGGTAGGGAAGAAATCTTAAAAGTAGTTGGAGGGAAAAAAACTAATTTGGTAACACATTTTTATTGAATTCTAAATTCTATTTTATTTAGTAAAATACATAAGAGTCTGTTAGTAACAACATGGACACAGTGGTTTAAATGTATTATGAACAAATACTTAGTATATGAATGTACTTTAGTGGTAATGGTACTTTAGTGGTAATGGTCTATTGAAAGACACAAATAAAAAATCTAAAGACAATAGCATGGACATGACTATAATTTTCACTGAATTAATAACATATAATCAGTTGTGGAAATTGCACAGGATAATGGATTTAATCTGGCTTCAACAATTAATTAGGAAAGGTTTCCTCTGTATTTTGTACATTTAGTATACTGTTTCCATATTCACCAACCCTACTATATAGACAACACTTCTCACTACAGACATGTGCCTTCACTACTTACTTATTTTGAATGGGGTCACATGATTGAGGGATAAACTCCCGGGAATGGATCTCGTAGTGTGACATACTGTAGAACTTAGTAAGACCCAAACACAGTGACACTGATTCAAACAATGTATGCAGAGGTCCAATCTCAAATCAACACTCAATTATATTTAAATCAGGCACATAGTATTAGTCAGTCACAAAATTCTCAGCATTGTATGTGCATGCAGATGTGCACCCACAAACATGTTCATTTCAGATTGGGCCCCACACACAGAGAATACTAGGATTAAGTACATCAGGGGCTCTACAGCAAAGACTAAGTGACTATGGAAAATATGAAACATGGTTTATTCAGGAATTATAGGTGAGAAGAGACACCAAAGAGACTTTTTTTTTGTAAAAGGACGCTTAAACTAGATATATAACTCACATATAATGAATGTGGTCTGCTGTGCCACAAGAACAACTGTGAGATCAAGCTAAGAAAATAACAACTGTTGCCCACTGCTTGGAGTGACTGTCCCTGAATGATGATGATGTTAAGTGCACAATGCATAATAATTATCCAAAAGGCTCCTCAGACACTGAACGTTCCAAAAGGCTAATGCAAGTAACAAAGCATTTTCTTCACTGTGCAAAGCAGCTCACCTTAACGCCGTCTTGCTTCTTGTTGAGCAAACTCTTGGCTGCTGCAGAAGGACAGAAAGAGACAACACTTCAGCATGAGAGTTCACAAACAGAGTCCTGAGCCTGAGGCTACACTAACATGCAGCAAGCATATCAGTCAACTGTGCTTATCCTCAAACTCCAGGTGCAAAATCCAACGGCAAAATCCATAATGCAATGCAACAGATGCTTAGAATGGTATCATCATTTATGCAAGGTTGTTCTCCTACTACATACTAATACACATGTGAAGGGCTGAAGGATGGGTGGTGTATTTAGGAGGGGATGAAAGGGATAATCTATCCATCTCGAACAAACTCACACAGCATTCTTGCACACATACACGTGCACTTAACCACTAGCACCCACACACTCGTCTCTCATTGTATTTCTCATGACATAAAAATAATCCAAACGCTAGATAGATTGCATTTCAAAATGCATGCTGCATCCTTGTCTGATCTAATTTCATTCTGATCTCATATTGGCACTGCAAGCGTGAGGTTCAATATTGTTCTTATGAATACCAAACTACTCATCTTCATGCATATGTGATTGGCTATTAGAAGAGTAAGAATGCCTAAACATCGTCAACTATTATTGGGCCCAACCCCACATATTTCCCTGTCATTTCAAAAATCTTACCTCAAATGGAAACCACAATCCAAACAAAAGAAGGAAAGAAATTTGAAAAAGGAAGAGAATGATGAATAAAAAGAGAAACACAAATGCACTAATGCATTTAACTGTAGAATGATGAGAGAAGGCAGGCTAGTAAGAGCCTAAGAAAGTAGAGACAGGTCAAAGGAAATGCATGCAAAAGGGTATGGTATAGCGCAAAATAGAGACAGTGAAAGAGCAACAGCTAGAGAGATAAAGAGAGATGGCTGTTTACCAGTGGCACCTTTGTGCCAAGATCATCTTTGTTCTATAGAGAAACAGATCGAAGGCATTCAAAAATAGGTGAAAGCGCCTCTATTCATTTTTTTTTTTAGATTGACTGCACATTTTTACCTACTTTGCAATGCCTCTGATCTTTTTTCCTCATGACTAGAAGATATGTTAAAGGCTAAAAAGCATTTCCAGCCTCCTGGTTTTTTTTTTCAAAATGAGTGTTTAGAGTTCATAAGATATGTTTTGGAAAACCAGGCTGAGAGAGACATACCTGAGAAGTTTCTTGTGACCAGCAAAGTGGTCAATATGGCTCCCTGCAGTGATAGAAAAGAAGGAAAGAAGGAGGCAATGATCATGAAAGGGAGGAAGGAAGAGACAGAAATAGGAAGATTGATTATAAGGTTACTGCAAGAAAGGGAAGCACAGCAAAAGGGCAACTTGAAGATTTTAGAGAGCAAGTCAACATTTCTAAGTGAGAAGTCTTAAGTGAGGTAGAGAGAGAGAGATGGGGAGAGAAAGATGGCTGGATGGATTGTTCTACATAAATAGAAACATGAAAGATTGCCAGACATCTCACCTTGAGTTTCCTCCTGGCATTGAATTTCTTCAGGCACTCCACAGTCTCCTGCCTGTGCATCATGGAAGCTACAGTGGACCGTTGCTGCAGGAAGAAGATGAGAGGATTTGAGGATTAGGAAAGAACGGAAACAATAGAGGGGAGGAATATAAGCATTTGTGTGTGTGTGGGGGGGGGGGGGCAATGAAACTGTGGAGAGTTGTGTGTGTTTGTGCAAGTTGGATCTTTTGGATCTGATGGTATGACAGGTAGTTACCAATAGTAATAAATAATAGTTTATTATTATCAGTGTGGGTCTTTATTTGTGTGTCTGAATCTTTATATCTGTTTATGTGCCTGTGTCCTAATCTCTGTTAGTGTGTGTGTGCCACATACGCAGATCCAGGGGTGTTTGAGAGCCTCTGCGGCAGTGATGCGTTTACTGGGGTTGATAGTCAGCATCTTGTTGATCAAATCTTTGGCCTCAGGAGTTACAGTGTCCCACTCTGGAGATGGGAACTGTCAAAAAACAAGAGTGTGTCAAAAGCTCATTACACAGACAAACCTATTAGGGACATAATATAAAGCATCATCAGATATTGTTTCTGTAGCAAGGCAAAGAAGAGGAGGAACAAAAAATATAAAAAGAATATGAAAAAAACATGAGTGAATGGTCATAAAATGAGTAAAACAACCATCATCTGAGAAAAGGCAGAGCCAAAAATAGATTAAATATGTGTGTGTACATGCTAGTTTTTATTCATTCAAACTTGAGTTTTATTGAACTTTTTATGACAGCCCTACTTTGTACTGTATGTGTGTGAATGCTTACATCATAGGCCCCAGCCTTGATTTGTTGGTAAAGGCGGTGCTGGTCCTCATCCCAGAAGGGAGGGTAGCCCACCAGCAGGATGTATAAAATGACACCTGAAAGGAAGTGACATGGTAAGTTGAGCATGTAAACAGAAAATACCAATATACTGTAGTACTGTATACTGATATAATCAATATTATTCCCTAATAAAAACACTCATCGAACACTGCACAGAACACTTGAAACAACATATAGCTGCAGTTTTGGTGCAGAACCATATATAAAAGCCATAGAATGAGGCTTTAGCTCCAGGGTCAAGTTCATTCGAACAGTTTCAGTGAGAGAATTTGAATGTTATTTACCACAAGCCCACATGTCCACTGGTTTCCCATATGGGTCTTTCCTCAGAACCTCCGGAGACAAGTATCCCGGAGTGCCAGCGAAACCTGGAGGAGTAATATGGAGGGAGGGAGTAGATGTGGAATGGTAGGCAGGAGTGGGCAGTTCAGTGACTAGGCTGTTTCTCAACTAACTGAATGAGTGATTGATTGATCGACTGATTGGTTGGTTGCTTGATTGACCAACTGATTCAGGTTGAAAAATGGATGGATGAATACTCACCAAACCATGCCTGCTGGTCCCCCTGCACCTCGATAGCCAGCCCAAAGTCAGCCAACTTGACCGCCGCCCCCTTCAGCTTACTGGCCAATAGAAGGTTCTCAGGCTGGGGGGGGCGGAGTCAAACAGGTTAGAGGTGAGAGGTCACACGCTCTGGGAACAAGCCGCCCACAGACACAGATCTAAAATCAGATTAGCCAAACCAAATCCTAATCCAAACTATTAGGGGTCAACAATGCTAAACTGCTCTTAAATCAGTGTCTGAGGCAACTCTCTTTCTGCCACACAAATGACAGAGCAACATAAATGTGCACGGGACCAAATCTCTATGTGACAAGGGACATTTTTCTCGCTAGAGTTGTGGACTCGTCCCCTTAGCCTCATGGATTGGAAGCAGACATGATGTGCTCGTCTAAAGCAACACCAATCCACTGTTAAAATCCATGAGTGGGAACAAAGTGCACACTGCAGGGAGAAGGATACAGAAGGGAGGTGCAGTGTAACGGGACGTGGGTGTAAAAACAAGTGACTCAGCCACATATGGGTATCGACAAACACACACTGCACGCTAACACAGTTTAGCACAATCATAAATATATGCCAGCCCCCAGCACACATGCACACACACACACGTACACACATATACTCATACACTCATACACACACATGGACACAGGTGCAGAAAGGTCTTTGCTAACCTAAGGCCAGTTAGACAGTGTGCTCTACTGAATAATACATTTTCTAACATTTAGAGACTCTAAACAGAGACAGCCTGTGAGCAGTCAGTTTATAGCAGACATATGACTCAACAAGACACTAACTGACAACTGGACACATCTCCATTATCATTTACATAATTATGAATACATCCTCCTGATTATGAAGTATCTGAAAACTTAAAATCATTTTATCTGCCCTAATAAAGTCGACAGATTAGAAATCTCACAAACCACCACAATGAAATTAGATTTTTTTTTCTCAGTACAGTACAGTTTTATGTTTCACAATCCATTTGAACACATTCAAGCAAGCTTTCTTGCATCCTTCTTTTACCTCCACATAAAAACGCTCTTGGGAGGTTATGAGAATAGAGACTACCATTAGAATATTCATGACCTTGGAAAATCTTTCACATCTCAACATAGTTTTTACATAATTACGCAAATGATGATCATTCCCGAGGTTCTGGCTTGTGATTGCTCCTATTCCTGTCACCATAGTGGTTCACTCAGTGGTTTACTACACAATCCCACACACACACACACACACACACACACACACACACACACACACACACACACACACACACACAAAGATGCAAGCATGCTCTCTGTAGCATTAGGGGTAATACTAGAGGAGGGTGCTTATTCTTGACATTGGCAGGACAGATATTAATATTGACTAAACAACATTGTGAGGTAACAATATAGGAGGGTAGGTTGTAGAGCCAGGCCTTAAGTCTCTGCAGTTTGATAGGTTTGAATCTTGGAAGCAGAAATGCAGCCAATTTCAAAGAGGTCAAAGTCAAATTAGCTTTATTAGCCCAAAGCTTTTAGGGCTTCTACAAGGAAGAATGGAATAATATGTCAAATAAAAAATCTTTGCGATGGTATTTTTCCTCTCACATAAAAAAAGAATTGTTAAACAGATTGTAAATAAAAAGCAAAGTGTGTGGATGTAAGGACTGGGTCTTTCTGAACGTCGCACAGAGTCGCAGCTGCAGCTGTGGCTGTGGTCATACAAACCTTCAGATCCCGGTGGACGATCCCATTTACATGGCAGTGATGGACACTCTCGAGGATCTGCTGTATGCAGTGGCTGAAGGAAAGAGAGTAATGATTGTGATGACAATGGAAGAAGAGACAGAAAAGTGAGGAAGAAAAAGGAAAAGAAGAAAGGCAGAGAAGAGAAGGTGAGGTGAATTAATTGAGGGGAAAAGTAGAAGAAACAATCTCATAGCATTGTATTATATGTCCCTCTCATTAAACTTCTTATGTGTGACGCTGTTTTCTGTGATGGATGACATTTAGTCACATGAAGGTAAATCATTTTTCACAAGATTTATTATTTCACTATATAGACAAACGAAAGCTATATAGTGGCTATGACAAGAAAATACACACACCAGCTCCCCTTTTCTCTCTCTCTCTCTCTCTCTCTCTCTCTCTCTCTCTCTCTCTCTCTGGGGAGGCAGTATTACAACATAAAGCTGGCAGTGTAAGGTAGGCTCTGTATGATTAATACCGCCGGCTGTATGTCGTTAATCACCTTTATAAATAACTCTATGAGATGCCTCAGAGACAAGGCAGCTGTATCACACTTCTGAGATGACCATACGTAAAACACACAAATATACACACCAGTAACGAGAGATGTACAATGGCTGCTTTGCTCAGCAGTGTGTGTTACCTGGCATCAGCCTCACTGTAGTACTCCCTGGCTACGATGTCCTCAAACAGCTCTCCTCCTGTTACCCTGCAGAGAGACAGAGAAAATGTATGTGCATTTTACTGTTTCTGTCTCTGTGTCGATGTCTAAAACACAATAAATCATCGATTTTTTTAACTGTGCTCAGTCATACACACTTACCTCGTGTATTTATTTATTTGTTGTTTACATGCACTGTATAGTTTCTTACTTTAGTGTTATGTGTGTTTCTGTGCATGTAAGCTTGTATAAGAGTGTGCAAGAAGATGTAAATATGGTTATGTATGTTTTGTTACTATAGTTTGGTGTGTGTGTGTGTGTGTGTGTGTGTGTGTGTGTGTGTGTGTGTGTGTGTGTGTGTGTGTGTGTGTGTGTTTATATCATTAAGGTTAAGGTTTGTTGGGGCACAGATTTACCCAAAGGCTTTCTACAAACACAACTTAGGCCCATTCACCACACAAATGCACACACATGCAGGAGAAGAAACATAGGTCAGGTTTTGAACCAGCTCAAAATAAGTTAAAACTTAGCCTTGTTATTATTAGCTAAATGGAGAATTATGCATCACTTAATTGAAACTGATTGCACCACACAAGCTGGTTTTCATGCAGAGATTAGTTCTTACATTTCCACCGACGTTCAGTTCAATTCAATATGCTTTATTGGAGTAAGTGCAACAAAGACAATATTAAGCATTAAGAAATTAGATTAAAAAGAAAAAGAAAAGTTATCATTCAGTAATTTAACATTTACCTCAGTAACCTAATAACTTAGTAACTGCCAGATGTAACTGATGTATCGCTAACTCATTTACATATGTATGTTTTCATTAGTGTATGATGGCTTGAAAATAAGAATTGCTTGATGCCACTAAATCCTACACACAAGTGCTTTAAATTACAAAACATTATGCTTATATTGTCAGACTAAATACCAGCTTAAATAGGTTAGCTTAATATACATATTATTGTCATGTACATAAATATAAACAAACAAAGAAATACTTATGGCATATATGGCAGTTATGTTACAGCTTGTGATGCTACAGGGACTCCCTCTTTACATAGGTGGTTGCTTTTGATTGGACACATGTTTCTTTGCAACCGATTTACACATTACTGAAGTATTCACTAGCTAAGATAATCTTTAAGTTTTAGAGTGCAACCTGGTTTAGTAATCACTAGTTTGAAGTAGGTTACCTAAGAACTTTTTTACAAAAGCTGCCGCTACCCAATCTATCTTGATAGGAACTAGGAGTATTTTAGGTAAAAACAACTTGCTTGGGTGGTCATAACTGACAGAGAATGTGTGTAAGATGTGTCTGATACTCACAGATCAAACACCAGATAGTGGAAACCCTCTTCTGATATGCTGTCATGGAGTCGTACTGCAGAGGAGATTTAACAAAAAGCACACACCCAAACACAGGACAGTAGAGGAAAAGAGACAGAAGAAAAAGCCAAATGAAACAGAAAGCAGTCAACACCTCAATACTAACACTGCCAATACTCATTATTCACATTTTCCTTTGTGCTGCTGTGCCTCAGAGTTAGGTTGTTAGCTGTCAAGTGTCAGAAATACAATGGTAATATACAAGGGAACAGTGTGAAGTACTAAGTGTAAAGCAAAATGAGTTTGCAATACATAATATATTCTACTGTCACTTAATGTGTTGATTCATCATGAGTGGATAGCCTACATTATGAAAGGTTTCTTAGCATAGTTGCCATCCACAATCACTGTGATTAGGCGGAACCTCTGAGAACAACTAATACTCACAAGAGTTCTATAATCAAATTCAAATTATGCTGTCCGCATTGATCTATAGATAAGAAAGCCTTATAAAATGAGCTGTTGCCTTGAGTATTGATTAAATAAAACATATTGATAACCCCAGTTAGGAACCTGTACTCACACAATTAGCCTCGCAACATTTAGATGAGGGAAATCATTAATGATTTGGACATTACTGTTTTGACATCTGGCATAAAATTGAATCCTATGTGGGACCGCAAACCCTGACCTTCTTTTGGATTTAAATGCAGTGAGTTCATTTTCTTTCTTTAAATCCATTCAAAAGTGGAAATATTTAATATGAGGAAATAAACTTTATGACATGCTTCCACTTTCATCCTTGGTCATTGCAGCTGAGCAGACATTACTACTGTTTCAGAAAGTATTAATATACACTGCTAAAAAATGTCTTATATCATTTCTTTATACATATACTGTCTTTTTTAACATATCTTTTGGATTTCCTGGGAGTCAAAATGTTCAGTCATAGTTGTTCTCGAACTTTATAAGAGCAGAGTTATGTTGGATGGCAGCTGTGGTGCAGAACTGATTTAAGAAATCTGAAATAATGACAGAGGAAAAGAAAGAGCATGAACAAATGAGTGTGAAAAGAACAAAAGAGGAGAGACAGGTTCTATCAGAGGTATAATGAGGAGGAAAGAGTGTAAAGGGTCAGTGGTTTAGTGAGAGGGCGTAGGTCTCCCATGTCTTTCTGATGGCTCGGCTGGGAGAGCACACAGATACATCATCATTAGATACCTGTGTATACACACACTCGGTTTCTCTCTCTCTCTCAACCTCATAACTGTGTCTAGAAGATGAATAGCCACAGCAGAATTCACCAGAGACCTGAACAAAATATGTGTGTTTTCGTTTGTATCAGCGTGCGCTCTCGTTTGTGCGTATTTTAAGATCGGGGACACACTGCTCACCGATGTTGGGGTGCTTCAGTAAACGACAAATCCTCGCCTCTCTCTCCAGCTTTTGATGATCTAAAAGAAAAATAGAGGAGACACAAACACAGAGAGAAACAGAGACAGGTTATTTTTAATGCTCTTCATTATTCCCTGCTATGATTGGCTTTCTGGATCATCTAATATGAAGTTGGCTGCGAGTTAGTTTTGACTTAGTGGAGGACACAGCGCAAGTGTTTGGGCATCGATGTCATAATAAGTGTGTATGTGTGTGTTGGCTTCGTGTCAACCCTGCTCTTTTCCTTATCAGAACTGAAATGCTTGACAAAAATAATGCGACCTGATATGTTCTTGGTTATGTGCCACAAACAGGCAGGCAACAGTGAACAACAAACAGAGTGAGCAGCCTCAGTGGATTCATATTGACCTCTGGTGTCGGGCTTAATATCAGTGGCTGCAATGTGCTTGCAGGTTCCTTTAGCTGCCCTGAAGACAAAATAAATTTGCAAGGACACAAATGAAATTTCATTTCACATCTCCGAAAGCCAAAGTTAAACATAAAGAGCATTACGTTTTTCTTGCTCTTAACGTTTCTTTGTTCATTTACAGCAGACTGGGATTAGGTGATGTTATAATACATCAGGCCCAGTGCCAGGATAAAGTGACTGAGGGGGCCACTAAAATTGCAAGTTGACAAATTAATTGATTTAAACGTGTAACCCTAGCCTCAGAAAGACTAAATAATAACAACATAAGGCTATTGTTTCAAAATCAAAGACTATATCTATTATTCACAGGACTTGCATAAGAATCTAGCACCAGCAAAGCGCTGAATATATTTTGGATTTATGAACGATTCTCAGAAGCACGTAGAAACAACTGTTGACTGTCCCTTGACTTCCCTGTCACCTACACATAACAAACAGCATTGTCCATTGTTCTGAAGCAACAGGTAAGCGATAGTCTCATGTATCTCTGCCAATCATTTTGTTGTTTTTGTTATTTTTACAACAGATGGAGGCAAAAACTGTGGGATTGGCAGTGAGCATTGTGGACCTATTTAAACAGTGGACACTGCTTATTTTATTCTATATTGCAAAAATCAAAGTGGATTCCAAAACAGTTTCATGAACTGAATACAACACTGACATTAGACAGACAACAGGTCATAGGGTTGTACTCCTACTACAAGTCACTCTCAAATCTCCCGTTCAGAAGAAACCAAAGTCCAGTGACTCTGATTCGGAACAACTGAGTCAAAGCAGCAGTCGTTATAATGAGCGATGCAGTACGGTGTTGAGGCGACCCACTTCAGCTTTGCCTCGAGCCACAGAGCGCAAGTGCCCCAGAGAGAGAGAGAGAGAGAGAGAGAGAGAGAGAGAGAGAGAGAGAGAGAAAGAAGAGCAGTGGGTTCTACTTTTTTTCAAATAAAATAGGACGTCTATTTTTCACTCTCATCCGTGTCTCCTTCCTCTGCTCTTCATGATGCTATGGAAACTGTGGACTCAGAGGCCAACAAAGAACACCAGAAAGCTTGTTCCCATTATAAGTACAGGTATTTGTTTGCTTGTGTCGACGTAGGCGCTTCTATAAGAAGCGACAGGCAGACACATTGACAAACTTGGAGCTGCAGTATACTTTTAACGAAATGGAACTTGGCGTGCCCTCAAATGCTTGGTAAAAATACCAGTACAGTTCATTCACTGTGACTGAAAGACTGTTCATCAGTTGCAGTGAAAGAGATGAAGCCAGAACAAAATCCCAGCAGTGACATGCAAAACAAATACAGGATGAGCTGTGGCTGCACTACAGTTAAAAGCTAAAAATACAAAAATCTGCCCATATACCGTGAGTGACAAGCACAAAAAAACAGAAAAGGAAATGTTCACTTTCTAAACCATGGATGAAGAGGTAGATGTGTGTCTGTCAGCTTAATAATCTTTTCATTAAAAATCATCCCCATTCCTCTATCCAAGTAACCGCAATCCATTAAATTGGCGGGCCATTTGGGTGCAGCAGTGACACAAGCTTATACATGTAATGACACAATGCCACCTACATAAGTTGGAGAGGTGACAAAGGTCTAAATAAACAGCAGATGAATAGGAAACATGCACCCAAAGGCCAAAGATATATGGAGCACATTTAATCATATGACAGTGTGAACCAACTTCAGGGGTGGTGAAATAATACTGTGTGAAATGTTCTGATAAGAGGCCAGCACACACTGCAACAAACGGAGCCCAATGCAGCTCTTTTGTGTGGTCGCAAGTCCACCATATTGCCTGTGAGAACACGCCAATTTCAATTTAGTTTGAAGTATACTGCCAGCTTTAGAGACAAGCCCAACAGCAGAGAGACATCCTGACAGGCAGTGCCAGAAACAAGGGCAGTTCAGCCATTATTTCATGATTAGCAAGACCCTCTGAGCAAGGTCACTAATGTCTCCATCTCTGCATCAGTCTTACCATGTCACTGAATGACACACACAAACTCAAACTTTCCTTTGCTAAGTTAAAAGATTTATTTTATTAACCCGCATTCTTCATCTAGCACTTTATTTTCATGCAATTTTAAGATTTTTGTTTTTGATTATCCTTTTTCTTTTTTTGCAAATTGCATGATACAATGATGCTTGAGTGGTGTGTGTGTGTGTGTGTGTGTGTGTGTGTGTGTGTGTGTGTGTGTGTGTGTGTGTGTGTGTGTGGCGCACGTTTGTGAGGAATTTAAATGACCTTTTTTACATTCCACATGTAATATTGTCAATTTTCTCATTCTGGTGCCCCCCCCATCAGTTTCTGAAATTAAATTTGGCCTATTGAGAGACCACACACTCAACAAAATATAATCAAGGATCTTTTGTAACACACAATTTTGTGGGTTCAGTGTGAGGTTTACACCACAAACATTTAGTTAGTTTTGCCAGCACCTTCAACTCAGAAGTACATACCTTTTCCTTTTTTCCCCCATGTACACTATTATTTGTACACAATATTTGTATAAATAGTAGTATACATAACACATACAGTCAGAAGCTTTTTGCTGTTGTATGTAAACAATCATATACCCTGTGTTTATTTAAAACTTCTTCACTGGCTTATATAATAGCTCGACTTCATAATACATCATGACAGCATTCTACAGCAGCCAATTTACTAGAAAGCATTACAGTACTCTGTTGAAGTGAAACACATCTTCAGCTCCCAGCCCTTGTCCTACTGTAAAATATATGTGGCAGGTCATACTAATACGTTAGTCCACACCCAAATGAAGATTTCCATATTTTAATTTTGTATTCTTTGGCAAAGAGAATGCCATTTAGAGCATTACCTGAAGTACTAACTTTGTGCATACATTAAATAACCAGTGCTGTAGTCAAGACCACCTTTGTCAAGTCCAAGACCAGGACTAGTCGAGACCAAGAAAAGACCAAAGATGTTTGAGTCCAAATGAGAGAGTCAGAGTAAAGACCGAGACAGATAAAAAGGAATACGTATGCAATTCCCAATTAGATCAATTTTGGCAGCCAAGCCACGATCGCAAGCAACATCAATTTGCCGCCACCTGGCCAGTGTCAATGTGTGCTTCATCAATGGTTTTGTTTTGAAGGAGGAAGTTACTTTGGGTAAATTGCTGGAGACTTATCACTAGTCTGTCTTTACAGCCTTGTTGTGTCAAGATACTACAAGAAACTACAACATTAGGTGAGACCAATTCTAGACAAGTCCGAGTGCAGATATCATACCAAAATGTTAGTCCGAGATCAGACATGAGTACTACAACACTGTATATAACATTACGACCATTTTCTGTGGCTAAATCCTTTTAATACCGCCAATGACAAATTTGAAAACATTAATATATTGGCCCAATTTGCACATTTCAATTTAAAAAATGCTTTGTTACTGCTTTGATATGTTAATTGTATCTGTACCAGAGTATAGAGTTGTTGTATACTGATAAGTAATAGTAATTGCTGTTTTAGTCATACAGTAGAAAGACAAAATAATGTAGAAATGGAGATAACGGTTTCTCTTTAAAGCAAATTAAAACATAGCAAACTCTTGTTTAAAGGTACGTACAAACGTGGTCATGTTATGTTAGTTGTATTCTTCGCTGTACTACATATCACTGCGCACTGTAAATGTCAGTCATTTGACAGCCTCACTCCTCTCTGTCATTTTCCACCTCCACTTTTCTTTCACTCTCTCTCTCTCCCTCCTCCACAGGTAGTCCACCTCCCAGCCGGCTGGACATCTGTTGTCTAGCAACTCCTGCACCAATCAGAGCGTCAGGCCTCTCCTCTCCTCTGCAGTGGAACCAGCCTTGCATGCAAATGGCTGACAACCAGAGTTCACACACAACTATCAAACTCTACAGAACTACAGACAGGAAAGCACAAGCAACTAATTCTGTAGGAGCATTAGGGAACTTAGAAAAAGACAAGTAATTTGGACACATCTTCTCTGGAACATCAAACCATTTAACCCAGAACACACTGTGCGTCACACTGTTGATATGCATTAGGATAGAAAGTTAAAAAAAAGGGAACTTTACAGATCCTGTAAGTGCCCAGATGTTTATGTACTGGAATCCTAAAGAAAGAGCACACTGCACACTCCGATGAATACCAAAACATGCACTGGATGTTGGTCTCCATAAGATGCTTTTGTTTAGATAGTTACTTATATATTACATTTAAATTTTTTTGTTGTAGCCCTCTGCAGGTGTATGTGTAATCAACATGATGTTTGAGCTACAGCAAAGATGATACAGTTGATATGGAAGAAGGGAGACTGCTGCTGAAATTGTGGAAATATGACACTACTGGGTTTATGCCGCAGTTTTAATGAAGAAAATACAACTATACTGTGAAATGTATCAATTCTAGTGACCTAGCTCTGTTAGAGATTTACTGTCAATCCGAATATGACACAGCCACTAGCTTCCATAAAAATTGACACAATAGTTTACAACATGACAATAAGTTTTGAATGTTTTAATCCAGTTTGGTTGAGGTCTGCTCTATTGCTTCATAACAAGGAGGGTGGTCCTGGTCCTTTCTGTGTATAGTTTGT